TCGGACGGAATGTCTGTTTTTAACTTACCCAGTATTAAATCAAAATTTAGCACCTAATTCATTATTTGGTCACCCGTTTTTAAATTGTAGCCTACGATACAAGCCTACATTCATAGAATATCTCAGCTTCAGAAGTTCGGAAATTTAAATTGAACGCAACTCCGGCAAACCATGACTTTACGATAGCTCACATAAGGATCATGGCAAACATCGATAAAAACTTTCATTGACCTTTGACTGAATGTTTGACTGCTCTCTACCTGAATAGTGATCGTAACTGAAAAATAATGATGCAGCAACGCGCTTGGTCAACTTGTAAAAATTTAGAGCCTTCTGTTGTTTGCACATAAAACAAATTTTGGAGTGTTATACAGTACGATTTCAAAACATTGTCATCGTAAAGAAACAGCTATAATATTGAAAACAAACAATTTGAAACAAAATCGGTGTACGGATTTAAATAAATATTCACAATAGATTTTAATGGTCAACTTGTTATCAAATTTTACGACCAATTTTTACATACATTTATTTGTGAGTGACGGTGTGTAATAGACATGCAAAACAAACATTAGCCGTTTGCTGTACAGTATAATATCTTTGAATATCATTTTAGACTGGTTCATTTATATGCTTGGTCATCTTGTAATCATTTAGAATTCAACAGTTTTTAATAGGTCCGTATCTCTACACTTCTAGACGTAGTATCAAATTATAGTTGCCGAGACCCGGTTTCATACACGCTCGCTTAAGTAAATTTCAAAGGAAACTGTTCCAATTTTTCTTATTGTTAAATACTCCTATGCAATACTGTAGGCCCCTCTAGCATAAAATTGACAGATCAATTACACACTGTAAAGATCGATTATGCCCTTTTATATAATAAGGCAATATGCCTAATGTGTGTGAAGTACTGACTTTGTTAATATCGAATGGGTGAAATTGCGCACAAACTTCAAACTCTTGGCCTAACATACAATCCTAGAGGAAAGAATATCACGTTTTAATCACCAAAAAGGATCATTTTCCACGGACACAGAGTAGGCCATCTAATAGTATGGCCCAAAGCGAACGAGTTTCTTGTCTCGAAAATCCAGACACTTCGTTAAGGCTTATACAGTACAAAATACTGTACAGTATATGATTCATTAAAAAAGCTTTAAAATGAAGGACTTTTAAACGTATCTTGGGTTTTTAAAAGCAATCTTGGGATTTTTTAGACCCAATCTTGAATTTTGATTTTCCCTAGTGGTCACGCTGCATTTAGAGACAGAATTATATACCGTACCCCGACGACATCAAACTAGTGTAGGCCTAGGCTTAAGTACAGTAGGATGTACTACTAGGCCTGGCGTGTGTGTGTACAGGATGCGCCATAGGCCTATATTTAAAAAAAAACAATATATTTTGTTAATTATTATTGGTTGGTCTGGGACCTAGGCAGGCAGGCCAGCTTTGCCGTCGAAAGTCCAGGGATTCGACGATGACGTCAGTGCACATATTTACAAACGCCTTGATTGGGTCCAGAATGAAAATAGACGCGCTGAATTTCGTTTGTTTTATGAAAGATAGTATTTATCGAACATTTGTCTATATAAAAACAAGATTAATATTGTAGAAATTGTATTTCTGAAGATTCATATATAATTCATATTTCATTTGGTAGACAATAAATATTCAGTAAGATACTAAAAACGATTATTAATTCTGAAATGTGCATCAAATCTCAGCTATTATTAATCAGTTTGTATTAGGTTAAAGTCTTAAAACAATAATTCCGAATTAGGCCTATTAAACAAAGTTTAGGTTCCCATGATGTCAGATGACGTTTTCAATATGATGCTATTTTGGGCTCCGACTTAATTTAACGATGGCCCTGTCAGTTGTAGTAAATCTTTGTAAATTACTCTATAGGCCTATATAATAGCTTGTTTTTTTTTATAATAATAAATGTGTTGAGTGTATTGATATTGATTATGCGATGAGGTTTTTTTTTTTTTTGTCTTTCGGTGTGATTAAAACATGCCAATTCTCAGAAAATATTTTCCAATTTTATTATATTACCACCTTTTATTACATAGATCTTTTTTAAAAACATAACTGCTTTTATAACATTATATAGACCCATTAAACACAAAAACTGCTCTGGCTTCGGGGGCTTCGCCCCCCTGACCCCACCTGGGCCCTTATTCAGTGTCCTGCACCCCGCGCCCAGAGAACCCCCACCCCCGTTGAAATGACCTGGCTACGGGCCTGAAATACTTTCTACCTAAACATTTGTTCTTAAATCGTTCAATTGTTTTGTAATCCGAAGAAAAAAATAAATGAAATACAATGCAATGTACAGTTACAAATATTTAAAAATTGAAAGTATATGGGCCTATACAAATACTATTTGTAAAGCGCTACGCTAAGGCGATAAAGCGACTTGATAATTTTGATGATACAAATAAATTATTTACGTAGGCCTACCATGATTATAACGTTACAGGTTTTTATATTTTGTATATACATTGTAAGTAAAAGATGTAAAAGTGAGATTAGGAAATAGAAACGACAGTTTAAAGATGAGGGAAGAGCAAGATTATTTGAAAACTTAAAAATGTTTAAACGGATTGTTCAAACGGAAATGTTTAATTAAAGGTGTGGTTACAACTTTAATAAATCTATACGAAACATCAAATGCGGAGGCGTAGTCCTTATTTATATTGCTTTTCATTAATGGAAATTTTGTTTAAACATCATGCCCCTATTCTATATTGCATCATAATATCAGAATGTTTTACCGCGCCAATTAAAAAACTTAAAGATGCCAAATCAGCCTGTAGTTGAGGTACTGTATTGGGGCACCATCTTACATGCAAAATCAGGACACAGTGAAATTACGCTGGCACAATTAAGTAAACGCGTAAGAACGTCAATAAACAAAGTTTTAATCAGTGGCTTATTCAAAAACCAATCTACTGATTACATTAGGTAATCAAAGTATATGATTCTCTTCGATAAGATAGTATAATACATACTCCAAGTATCAAAATGCACGCCATCGTGTCGGGATTTAATATTTCGACATTAATTATGTCATCATCAGGAATCGATAATACATCTAGGAGGCACAAGAGTAACCACCTTCCTAACTAAACTCACCTCTTAAAGATACAAATCTTACTATTGTTTAGTTTTTGTTTTTCAACAGACGTACCACTTAGACCTAATATCTATCTTTCTTCTTTTTCTTTTAATTTTCTTCTAATTCTTTTTTTCTTCATCCTTGGCAAAAAACCTTTTGTTCTATTGTGCGTTGGTGTTGACATCATTATCGCCTAAAATCAAACATAAAACATTAGGCCTACTAAAAGACATATAGTGAAATTAGTCAAATGTTATACAGTACAATAGACAACATGAAGTTGGCCGCGGAGAAACTACATAGAAACTCACAGACCAGTTGTCCCTCTTAATACAAAAACCGAAATAGCCACTTTCACTATTTAGAATGCTTTAATGAAAATATGAAATAATTTATACAATGTTAAAGATGATTATGTATAATCCTAACGGTGGTATTAGACTTTTCAATGTGTAACACTTACTTTTCTTTTCGGCTTTAGACACCTCTGTTGACGATTCTTCACTCCCAATATCTTCACCACCTTCTTTGTCCTGTAAATCTTTTTAAAAAAATGGATAGTCAATAAACAACAATTTTTAATTTCTCCTAAAGTTCAACATCGTAACTGTTGATTCTCTCGACGCTCAGAAATTCTGATGACAGAACAATTAATGCTCGGGGTGCCGTCAGGGTTTGCTCGACGGCGGCCCGAAAACCCCAACCAGGGGGGTGGGGTTGGGGCTGGAAACACTATGGAAACTATGACAATTTAGGGGTTTCAAAAATATATTATTTAATAGATTTTAGAGTTACATTACATATAATTTTTTTTTCTCCCCGACGTGTGTTTTTCAGACACGGGTTGGAGGAGGGTACTGGCGCCATCCAGCCTGCTACGTAGGTCGTATTATTTGTTATATAAACATCCTGTAGTAAATCAAACCCCATATCAAGCAGTTGAGAGTGAGGTCTATTTTTACTTTATGATTTTTAGTGGTAACTAGTACCTTTCACTACTCCTAATTCATCCGGTGCAAACGGTCTTCCAGCAAACTCTCCTGAACTATCTCCTCGTCCCGGTAAGTCTTCGTTCGGTGGAGCTAGCACAAGATCATTGGAGTTTACATCGTTAAAATCTGCCATGGGGTCAAACCCTTAATACAAAATATAAATAGTTAATTACTTCCTTTTTATTAGCTAAC